TTTCCCTCTCCTCTAGCTTTCATTTCAAGAGTCGTCTCCCTTCACTCATCTACCCATCCAGGTCTCCCTGTCATTGCTCCTATGGTACCGAGCACAATGAGGATCCCATAAAGGGGTGTGAGTACTTTTTGACTGATTGATAAGGGGAAAGGTAATGAAGACAGCCAGAGAGAGGGTAACATTTATCTTGTCACTGATGACAATCAGCTGGTGACAGCAGCCTGTTGGACATAAAAAGGAGCTTTCTGGAATCGATTCCTTTGTTCTTTTTCTTTTTAATTTGGCTCGCATGAAATGAATACTTTAAATTAATCTACATTTTTGCTTTTTCGTAGGTCACTTATACTTATTCTCTTTTCTGTACAACATGTATATGGGGTAAGTACATTAATTAGCTCTGATTGCATGTTGAAATTCACATTATCGAATGCATTATTTTTGTTATAATTTTAAACAAGTCACTCTCTGGGATTCAGTTTTCTCATCTATAAAATGAGGGATTGGACTAGATAAATTCAAATTTTACAGTCAGAACTACTTAACGAACTACCTTCAATTGGTATTGGAGTTTTCTTTCTTTTATAATATAACCCTTTCTTAAAAAACCCTTTTAGGGGGCAGTAAACAGCTGGGCCATTTCAGGATTATATCAAGAGATTTAAGAAGAAATTTGAACATTTTAACTTTGGAGAAAGATAAGCCTAGGGCATTCTTTAATAACAAATCTTTCTTTTGTTTCTCACTAAAGAATCAAACCCAACCTCAGAGGTTTCTGGGAAATTCTATGGGCTGCCTCAGGTTTAAATCCCTCTACTGAACACATCCCTGTCCATCCTCTCCAGCGTGGATCCACCCAATCCAATTTCTGCGATGCAAGTTATCTTGGGTCTTTTCAAAATAAATCAAATAGAAAGTTGCCTTCTATTCTCCTTTTCCTACCAGTCAGGAGCAGAAAGCACATGTGTCCAGGAATGAGAAGCCTTTGGTTGTTGGTTCTGACGATGATTGATTTCTTAACCTACCCAAGACTCAATTTTCTCCTCAGTGAAGTAGGGATGATAAGACTTGCCCAACTTAGTTCATATGCATTTGAGAGCATCGTCTGAAATAATAAATGGAAATACACAGGAATACGTGCATATGGCTTTTTCTATTTTTCTTACCGGATTATCCTAAGTTTATTTTTGCATTATATTCTTTTTTTCTTTTATGAAAGTCTACAGAGTCTCCAATTTCCCTTCTTTTGTTTCTTATGTTCCATACAAGTGAATATAATTCCTGAACCAAAGATCGTTCTGGCCTGGCCCACCTACCAGCTTGTGGTGTGCAGAGATTCCAGTGAATTCACACAGAGAGAGGCGATGTTATAGTTGGTTTTTAGAGGTAGAGATGTAGATTTATGCAGTATTTATGGAAGGCACTTTGGCATTATCCTTCAGGATTTCAAGTGCATATACCTGCTGACACAGGAATTTCCCATTTTGGAATATGTAATATGTATTTATACTAACTTGTGCATAAAGATAATTGTATAATAATACTAGTTTTGGGCTCATGTTTAGTAGCAAAAGAAGGGAGATAGCTAAATGTCTATCAATAAGGACTGATTAAAGAAGTTACAGTACTTTGTCTGATGGATCATCATATGTATTACTTCAGAATAATTTTTGCAGTCTTCTGATTAAGTGAAAACAGCAAGGTACATGGAAATACACCATTTGGGTAAAAGTAAAACAAGACCAAAATCACCAAAAAAGTGTGTGCGTGAGTATGCATGTGTGCATGCACACTTGATGATTGTGTAAATATGTTCATAAATACCCTGACACAGACTTGAAGAGATTAATTACCTCTAGATGAGGGAATGGGGAACCCAGGTCGAGAGAGAAAATACCTTTTCCCATTACATTCTTTTTCACTATTTGCATTTTTTATTACGAGTCTATGTTATTTATTTTTCAAAAAGAAGATAGACGTAGGACAGACTATTAATCTAGAAAAGAACGGTTTTTCTTGAACTTTCTATGCCATACATATTTGTTTAAAAATATCTGAGATAAAACAATGACTTTTCCTTTTTTTCTCTTTGAAAAAGTGACATTGTTTTTTGAGACTGTCGCTGTACTCCCACTGAATATGGTTTATGCTTTGCATGTTGGCCGTCTGAGATGTGTCCTTATCCTCATTTTATTAGGTTTCTACAATGTTTTTGAGGTGCAGCTTCTTCCTCTATAAGTGCTTCTCCCTTTTAAAGTGATGTTTATTGAGATAGGTCTAATGTAGGAGAACTTTGTAGAGACTAAAAATCATCTCTTGCTTTTCTCTTTCTTTGGTCCAAGTCAAAGCTTTATATGCAACTATTTCTGTTTATTAGAATCTGCTAATCTGTTTCAAACTGAGTCTTCCCTGAAATGTAATTTTGCTACAAATATCTCAGTGATGCTTGGCACAATTCAGTAAAAAAAAAAAAAAAAAAAAAAACAATAAAAAAACAAACTTGCCTTTATTTTCCAGCCATCTAATCAACTGACCTTTTTTTCCTCTGGTTGTTTTGATATTTCAGTGAACACATAGTAATGAACCCAACCTTAAATGAACCCAACTGTTCAGACTAGTTATTTTAAGTGCTTTCATGCTGTCCTGACATGAACTCAGGCATTATTTATTTATTTATTTACTTACTTACTTACTTACTTATTCATTCATTCATTCATTCATTCATTCATTCATTCATTTATTGAGCCTTACCAGGCTTTTGAACTTAATAATTCTGCATCATAGAAAACAATGTTACTCAAAATTCAAGAGGCATATATTTCTGAAACTTCAAATACATTTTTAAACTTAAATTACCTAATCACTTGGCTCTTGTCAAGGTTCAAATTCTTATATGCTTTTAATAACCCATAAGAATGTTGTTTATAAAGATACTTTTTTTATTAATGCTTAACATAAAGATATTTTCTTTTCGATGGTTTCTGAGCGTATTTTTCCAGGAAGAAGGATGTCTAAATTGTGTGATTGAAAAGAAAAAGACATGCTGGATAGACAATTTTTCCTGTCATAACATATATATGTATATGTGTGTATATTCGTATGTACATATATGTATTCATATATATTTACATACATACCTGTGTACATACATAAATATGAATATATACATATATATCTATCTTCCATCAGAACTATAAATATTGGTTTAACTGTCTTATGCTCTTCCTTTGTACATTTGTCTAAAGGCTTAAGTTTACAGCCTTGGATTTAAAAAGTTCCATTAACTATAGTAATGTGTGGTTAATATATTACACGTCGTAGTGAGGGCCGGACCAGGCAAGATCACGAGCTAGGCAGAGTTTGTCCTTGATGCCTGGCTGACATTTCTGTCCATGCCCTCGGCTCCAAGCACCTGTGAATGAATGCTCAGAGCCATTTCCCTA